GCCGTGAAATGATGTGTGTTGTGAATTGGTGTTTATATACCGTAAATAAACTGAATTGAATTGAATTGAGCTCCCACGATAGAATCCCATCAGAGTTCAACCAAAATCCGAGGAGCAATGTTCACAGATGTTCACAGATGTTTTTCCTTTTAAATGTGACTCAACTTTAGCTGTTTAACAAGGTTGAACCACTAATGATAACTACTCTCAGATTTACAAAGCTGCAAGAGACACATATTGATGTCTGACATATATCTCTGCCCCTCCTTGTTTGACCGTAGTGTAAATCCAGATAAAATGAACTGAAAGCTCTGGTTGTAACATGACAAACTGTAAAAAAAAAAAAAAAAGTTAAGAGGTTTAAAAAGTTCACCAAGTTCCTGTAATTTCAACTCATTTTGTCAAGCTGTTGTCAGTAACTGATTATCTCCCAAACCAACAGGAACCTGTGCGGGACAAACTGGAACCAGTGGTCTTCTCCCTCAACATGTCGCTGCAGAAACAACAGCCTAGAGCCAGGCGTTCCATGCAGAACCTGGATTTCTTCCCCATTCTAAGCCAAGAGCAGAAACTCACCCAAAGAACGGAGGTACCGACTTTAAAAACATCACTGAGCACAAATTGCCTGTTGTCATTTAAGGTATGATTAGATGCTCTTCTGTCCTGCAGATAAACTTCCAGAAGGAATGTGGCTTAGACAACAAATGCACCAGTAACCTGAAGCTGTCTGCCGCGTTTGCTGATAAAGATGACATTGCTTTCCCCAGGCAAACACACACTCTGAACGATGAAGCCATGTTAACCTATCACCTCTTAAATGAGCTACATTTTGCATCTGTAACTTGTGTTCAGGAAGGGCGACGGAAACACTCAAGTGCTCCAGTTTAACAACACAAACCAAATAATCAAGCTGTTGGTTAATGTGACCAATTATCCTGCTCCTGGAAAAGCTGCAGAGGACGCCCACCAGGCAGAGCTCATCATCACCATCCCTAATAATACACTGACATACTCTGGAGTCAGATCTGATGTAGGTCCACTAGAGGGCAGTAGATCTCAGGGAAAGTTGCATCATAGTGCTCCATAAACATTTTCCTTTAAATTATAAGAATGTAAAATAGCCCCATGCATGCTCTATGCACCTCTAATATGAAATATTTGATAATCATTTTTTCAGAACTTGGATGTAGAATGCACCTTTGAAGAAAAAGTCATTTGTGAGCTGGGGAATCCACTACAAGGCAAAGAAAAGGTACATTTTAGTCCTAATTTGTGCTTCTTTTGTGAAATTTGATTAGAATTTTTAGATAAAAAGCAAAAAAAAATTTAAAAATTGTATTTGAAAAGCATTCTCCCTGTTTGTGTAAATTCTACACATAAAATCCAACGGTAACAATATGAGAAACGTTTTTAGTGATCTAAGCATAGGTACCAGAAAGTGTGAACAGAGAAATCTAATGTCCATAAGGATCCAGTTTTTTTACTCCACCTTTAGCAAACATCTCATTCTCCAGTCTATCAGATTATGATGCCAGACGTTTGGCAGACCTATCTTTAGGCAGTTTGGAGCGTTCTTCTTTGGAGAACATCTCAGCTTCCATCAGACTAAATGAGTCCAGTTTGGACTCTGGCTTGGCCAGTCTAGGACATCCATAGAGTGGTTCTGACTCCTTGGAAATTGTTGCTCCGTGCTTTGGTGCAGATTTTCATCTAGCTTTTCTCTTCAGATTGTCTCTTTCATCTTTCAGTCAGTCTCAACTGACACTTCCTGTTGAAAACATCCCCATAGCATGATGCTGCCGCCACCGTACCACACTGTTGGGGTATTAATGTTCCTTTTGGTGAGCGGTACCTGGTTCCCTGCAATCATAACTCCTGGCCTTCACTCCAAAGACTTTCATCTTTGTCTCATCAGAACAGAAAATTTTGCTTTTCATGGTTTGAAATTCCTTCAAGAGCATTTTGGTAAACTCCAGAGTGAATGCCATGTGCCTTCTATTGAGGCGACAGTGGAGTCAGAGGGGAGC